CGATGTGGAAGCAGCATATATATATATCAGACAGTCGGAGATCGCATGTACACAGAAAAACAGTAGATGACGGAGATTCCGCAAGTGTGATGGATGAAATGTCGGATCAGGAGAAAGTCAAAGTGAATACATTCTTGGTTATCATGGACCAACTGAAAAGTGCCCTATGCAGACGAATTGACGCATATTCAGCAATAGTGCAGCGGTTTGGTGTTTTAACAGAGATGATTCTATGTCAGCTGAAGACATCAATACTGCAACATCAGCACTTGTAAGTATTATGATGATGATGATGATAATGATGATGATGATGATGATGATGATGATGATGATGATGATGATGATGATGATTTATTTGTATCGTGTTCCTGACGAAGCCCTTTACAGGGTGAAACGTTGAACCTGTAACCCTTTTTTATGCATTATTTTTATTGCAAATATAAGTGGGCTCTCGTGGTCTAGAGTTTGCGGGGTCTCCCCGTCGTTCAATAAGTTCTGGATTCGAAACCGGACAGCAACGGATTTTTTTTTCTCTAAAATGTTCTATTTTCCCCTCCTTTCCTGTTCTCTAGCCATGTTCTGTCACCTGCTTTTGTTTCCACTTTCTGCCTCCACCCCCTCACCTCCCTTGCCCCCTCCTCTGGGCTCCTGACTCTTGTTTTATTGTTATAGTAAGGTTTCACGGATCTCGCAACTGCATAAGGTGAATGAAGACGACGGGAAACAATTTCCTAGGGCTTTGACAGTGTTAGATTTTACGGCACCACAATAAAGTCATAAAAGTGCTGAAGATTGGAGGTGTTTTATTACAAGATAGTAACAAACACAAAAAAGGAGTGGATATCAGGGACAATTGGTGTTTGATACCGAAGAAGGAGCCGACCACACTAGAGCACCTGCCAACCATCCCCCCTTGGACTTTGTCGTAAAAGAACAGGGAAGATAGAGGGGGGGGGTTGTTTTTTTGTTTTTAAATGTAGGTGTTTTTACGCCCCCATCAATTCATTTAAATCAATTATGAGGCGGGCTTCGGCCTTGCCTGCCAGGGCCAACAGCGGCTGAGAGGGATACAGCATCCCAGCGGAAAAAACTGAGAGACTCAACGGAAATCCTACCCGCTCAGGAGTCGAACTGACGTCCAATTTTTAGCTAAAAGCATGTCTTCCAATTTACGGAAAATGAGAAGACAACCTGGAAAGTGAAAATTTGCGGACGCTTGTTCATTAAACAATTAGATGTTTTTGTTTCTTACAAGCCACGGAACAGGATGGCTGCTGTCGGTTGTCTCATGCTGGGGCCACCAGACCCCGTAATCGTGAGATTGCGAGTTCGGGGGTTCGATCCTCAACTCGGTTTAACGTTTTGTCTTAGGAAAATGCAAGTTATACGAATGTTCCCATTTTGGCTTGGAAGTTAAATGGGAGATCCCCCCCCCCCCCTTAAATAACATTGAAGTATTGTAAGGGGCGTTGAATCAGTAGTTTCAGAACAGAATGGGTGTACCCGTCGTGTATAAGGGACAGATAGGAGGGGGGGGGGTGAGAGAGAACAAGAGGCGGTATGTAACTCTGAACTAGTAAGTAGTAGAGACCAAAAGGCCGTGAGAATATTGTATTTTCTTTATCTTTAACGGCTAGCTGCAACGTTGTCAGCACTGTTGGCACTGACACTGCTGTTGTCACTGGCACTGACAGCGCTGTTGTCACTGGCACTGCTGTTGTCACTGGCACTGGGAGCGCTGTTGTCACTGGCACTGGCACTGGCACTGACACTGGCACTGGCAGCGCTGTTGTCACTTGCATCGGCAGCACTGTTGTCACTGACACTGGCACTGGCAGCGCTGCTGTCACTGACACTGACGGCACTGTCATCACTGGATCCGGCAGCACTTTTCTCACTGGCACTGGCACTGACACTGGCACTGGCACTGACACTGGCACTGGCAGCGCTGTTATCACTGACGTCAGCAGCACTGTTGTCACTGGCACTGGCACTGACACTGGCACTGGCAGCGCTGTTATCACTGACGTCAGCAGCACTGTTGTCACTAGCAGTGGCAGCGCTGTTGTCACTGACACTGACGACACTGTTGTCACTGGTATCGGCTTGTTTGTCACCTTCGCTGCTGGAGCTCCTCTCAAAGGGACCCGTCAGAGTCTGGGGAAATAAACAATATCTTGGGGCTTGATCTATCTTGCTCTGCACTTACGTTTTTCCTCATTTCTGGCTCCGTTTCTATGTATACAAATGTTAATGAGATATTATGGTTTTGTTTCATTTGTTTCAAGCATAAATCTAATCATTGATACCATATTTTCATCAGCCCATGAGGCATCTTTATGGGAATATTTTTTTCTCTCTATTTCCTTACTATGTATGCATACATATATACATATGATTTTGCCTTTAATGAGACGTCTTTGGATTCCTCTTGATTTTTAATTCTACAAAAGTGTCACAAGTATTTAGTGGATGTCGCCAATTCAGTCTGCGGTTTTGGAGATAATGCTGACCTATATTTTTATATCATATTTTAGTATCATATTATTTTTATGCAGCCATTTGTTCCAATCATTTGTACCTTATTTGTATGCCACATTTTCGTATTATATTTACTCTCTTTTCAAGTAATTTAAGTGTCCCATTTTTAAAACTATGTTTTATAGCGTTTCCACATACAGCAATTCTGTACCATAGTTTCATACTGTTACTCGACGTGAATGCGAAAGTTCCATACTGTATTTTCCATACCATATTTGTATACACATTTCTCTACCGTATTTCCCTACAATACTTCCATTTGTAAAATTTCTTTACAATTTTACTTATCATAGTCCTATGGACCATGTGTCCACACCATTGTCCCATGATTTCCATTTGTATACCATATTTCCACATCCCATTGTCATATTGATCTTTAATACTATGTTTTTTCGCTTTTTCTGAACACATTTTAATATTATATTTTCAACCTTACTGCATACCTATTTTCAAATATACAGCTATACCTTATTTTTATGCCATAACTGCTTCATCTTATTTTTATAACATACATTATTTTAATGCATATGACTGTGGTTGTGAATACAGGCCGCACAATTACTACTTTAAATGAAAACCCATGGTTTTGGGTCAAGATAATGACCGTTAGCAGATAGGTAGTGTAGATAGATAGATAGATAGATAGATAAATAGATAGATAGATAGAGAGAGAGGGAGAGAGAGAGAGAGAGAGAGAGAGAGAGAGAGAGAGAGAGAGAGAGAGAGAGAGAGAGAGACTGTCCCTGACGCGATGGCTGCCAGAAAATGATTAATAACTTCTCAAATTTTATGCAGATCTGCACCAAATTTGACAAGAATCATGTTTGATCAAGCGGACGCTGTAACCTATGTTCGAATTTGAACTGGTCAGACGAACACCACTGCAACAGCGATATCTCCAAATAACCCAGAAAAGACTTTTTTTTTCTTTAGAAAATACGCAGAATTCAAGTCCGAAAAGAAACTAAAAGCCTATTATTGCGAGGAGTAGGCGTTGATTTCAAATCTAGATCCAGTGCACATTCTTTAATTAAGGAGAGAGTTTGATGTGGTACAAGCGGTTCAAAGTGAAAGGTGTGCGTCAAAAGGCGATTAAATAAGGGAGTAAGCATTTTTTTTGCAATGAGTTCGTGGGTTTTGAAGACACGTGAGAGTGATAATGTTTAATGTTCTGTTCGCTTTTGCGACGAGGTTCATTTCTACGGGACTAACGAAATTAATTCTGGGAATTGTGTACGCTGGGAAACAGAAAGTTCTGATGATTTGAATGAGAGTAACTAAAAAATCGAGACAATGGCTTTGTAAGAGCTACCACTCTGCAGCAGTGTCAGAACGCTGAACATTAAACTTTACCAAAAAACACGAAAATGCAGTGCACATGATTAGGGGGTTGGGGGGGGGCATGTGGAGCCTCTTCTGTAAAGCTAACAGTCTACATGTGGATTCATTTTATTGTCTAACTGTCTGTCTGGATGGCCCCAGTATGTTTCTACCATAGGACTTTGCTGTTTTTAAAGCGGTTTTTATTTTATTCAACTTGACTTGGCAATCATCGAGTTTGGGACACCCTGTAGATAGATTACCGTGAACGTTATATAAAAGAAGAACACATAGAGGTACAGAGAAGTACACGGGAACTACTCACCGAGACAACGCTTCCTGCGACGGAACCGCTGATGTCTTTGATACCTCCTCCCACTGCACTGCCATATCTGGCCACAACCCCACCGAGGTCACCAGCCGCCTCACCAACTGGGGCTAGTGTGTCTTTAATACCGGCCCCAACTTTTCCTCCATAACCCACAACTTTCCCACCGATGCTTCCAACCACTCCAGTAGCAGGGACTACAACTTCATCCTTGATACCCCCAACTACTTTACCGCCGTAATTGATCGCCGCTTCACCGAGGTCACCAACCGCCTCGCCAACTGGAGAGAGTGTGTCTTTGATACCGCCCCCAACTTTTCCACCATAACTGACCACTGTCTCACCAATGTCTTCAGCTTTGTCACTAATGGGCTTCCACACTTTTTTCACGCTGTTCACCAATCCCTTTCTATAATCGACAATTTCATCGGTAACACTGCCAAAGAAGTCATTGACTTTACTAAAGAAAAATGGTCTGGACTCAAAGCCTGGCACCACAAGCACCAGCAGACAGACAGACAGCACAACGGTCTTCATCCTTGCCACTTGACCTGAAAAAAAAATTGAAGTCAGCAATGGAAAAATTAATAATCAATTCTAAGTCGCAAACTTTTAAGGTACTGAATTTAGGACAAAAACCAGTTCCTTAGTTTGCTCTCAGAAATTGTCAGCCAGAACAACGTGCTCAGTTCTGGATTAGATACCACTTTCAAAAGAGGGTACGAGAAGAAAGCAATCTGAAAATTGTAGCTTTGATCTGGGATTTTTAAAAATTCACTATGATCTTCAATTCTTCTTCAATGACGCTAACCCTGAAAACAACTTTTGTTACACACACACACACATACACACATACACACACACACACACACACACACACACACACACACACACACACACACACAAACACACACACACACACACACACACACACACACACACACACACACAAACACACACACACACACACACACACACACACACACACTCACAAACTAGGACTTTCGTGGTGAAAGCCCGGGTCTACTAAAGATCAAAATACATGTACATTGTTTTCATTCGTTAAATTACATTCACTTTTCGACCTGACTACACAACGTTTTAAATTAACCATTGGGATAAAGTTATCATTACTATGATCTTTCCCAACTTTTCATATTTTAAAGATCAGTTGGTGACTTTGCAGTGTTCGCTTCTAATACTTTGTAGAGAAAATTAAAAACACGATTATGAAGCATTCATAACTTTCACAGACTTTCGTGAGGCTTTAGACACCACCATCATCTATTCATTACATGATAGAAACATGCATTACAAAGCATCTGGTTTCTATCATAGAAAATTGATATATCTAGATCAGAAGGCAACCTACCACTGGAATGCTTACCGCTTTAAATTCTTTCTGATAAAAATAGGAGTTCATCAAAGTTGCACTTTGTTCCCCTGTCTTATCAGAATCCACAATAGGAATCAAATTAGTATGCGACAACCATAGTCGACATGGGCACCGCAGTATGAGACGGAAACAGAAGCTTCAGATACGCTGCTGACTGAACAGCCATTATGCCCATTGGCATCACAAGCAGAGTAGAATTTTCTACAAGGTCGACGCGGGGAGCAATAGGACCGGCCTTATAATAAAAAGATAAAAATGATGCAAAGACCAAAGTGATGCATACTAATGGCATAAGCACTCCTCAAACTCTATCAGCTTTCATCGAAGAGATTTGTTCAAAGTGTCCAATAGTTGGGTTCTTTGAAAGAGAAAAATACTTCACGTGTGCAAGATGTTAAAGCTAGAATCGGTATGCCCAAGCAAGAGATAGTTCAGTTAAACAATTGGGGGGAAAAAAAGATGCCTAGATCCGTCTTGTCATAAAAGATGATCTGCCCTATATTGCCGAATATGTCAGAAAGCGGGACACCATGAAGGTTTAAATGTTACTACAAATAAATTAATCTTATGGATATTGGAAAGGGATTTTGTTTTCGTAGAATTAAAAATCACAGCAGTTCCGAAAAGATAAAGGATGTTATTTCCAATACTCGTGTATTTCATGAGCCCTATGAGTAAAAGAATTGTAATCACATAATTGTTTCAAAATGGTGTATAACTTTGTAGGAGGATAACAATAGACACTGAACACGTGAATGTTTTACAATCGCTTGCAGCATGATGTAACGAGACAGATACTTCGAGGGTAAAACAAGAGGAAATTGGTACGCATGCATATATCGTCGGCCAGCTCTTAAAAATGTACTAAGCCCTAAAATATGAATTTGTCGTTTTTAGCTGCTGTTTTTAGATCTGTTGTGTCGGTTACATGTACTCAATAAATATTTTGTCGAAATTCAAATTCTAAATGTTGGCTGAAAAACAAGAAGAATACACAATATTGCAAGACGAACGAAACACTTTTTTCTCTCGATAGATAATATGTCTGTTGTAAAATGATTTGGCTTTCTGGGCTTGGTACACTAAGAGCTTGTGCCAACGATATGTATCATTGTTGTTCCACAAAAATTCTGCTTACTCAATTTCAAGATCTCAGAAGCGAGCTCCAATCACCCGGTCAGATAACTGGGAGAAAGACGGAAGCGTTCTTATTTATTAACGGCTCCACACAACACGCCATACGAGGCTGTTGCACTTTGTCTTTTTTGTTGTTGTAATAATCATAATAATAATCTGCTTATGAAATGTAGCTGTGACCCAGTGTATGTAAATCACGAAATATACTGCCAAGCGCATTAAAATTTTCATTCTCTCTCTCTCT